CCGACCGACCCGACCGGACCGACGACCCGACCCCCCCCCCCCCCCCCCAAAGCGGCCACGCCCTCTCCTCTAAAGGCCGCGATAGGGACTGGCTCCTTGGTATCGCCACTTAGTACATGGAACGAGGAGGAGCACCGCAGCCGCTGTCATTGGGGCAGTAGTTGTTCTGTTGGATGTCGACAACAGCCTTGGGGACGGGGGTGGCGATGGCGGCGATGGCGAGGAGGGCGATGATCTGGAAGGTCTTCATGCTGGCGGTTTTGGTTGGATGAGTAGAGAGAGAGTTTCCCCTTTGGAAGAAGAGGGAGTCGGGTTGGTGAGGTGATAAGGAGGAGGTTGTCGAGGTGAGATGGTTGTCTGAGCTGAAAATGGGTGATGGAGGGAAGACGCAAAACAGGAGATGGGAGAGGAGGAGAGGCGAGTCTTTATACGCCAAGATCACACCGACGACTGCTCCTTGTCTCCTGTGCGGCCCCCGACCACCCATCACCAGTCTCGGCGATGCGATGGCTGGCCTTCTGCCACCGCCCACACCATCCTCGCACCTTGACGATGCCAAGCCCTGTGTCTGCCCTCAGAGCACCATGGCCGTTGGTCTGGTACCGACTGGATCTCAGGGGCAAGAGGCATTGGTGCGCGAGTCGTTGGAATTCGATCGGTTAGCGATCCGGCCTATTGCTCCTGAAGGATGCCGTCGCCCGAGACGGGGCGCGCGGGTCTGGAGGCAGCCCGGAGCGGAGCCGAACATGGCAGGGGCTACAACAGCCGGCGGGTCGATCCAGGCTTGACATCCACGGGGTAAATCTGGCCAGCTGAAGTTGCGGGGTACTGCTTTGCTTCTATTCCCTCACCCCCATTACAGGCTCCCAGTCATTGGACGTATTTATTTACCAAAGAGGGAGCTAGAGGGAGGACAGGCATTTGTCCACGGTTTAAGTTACCGAAGGGTTAACCCTTTTCTTTCTTCCTTTTGGATCCGGTAGATACGGTCGGTCGTCAATATTGAAGCGGCATGTCCCGCTGCTCGGCATCGCGAAGCAGGAGCGAGGAACAGTAATCTGAATCCCGATCAGCCCCATTAAGAATTTCACGTATATGTTCTACTTGACAGATACTGACCCGACAACCTTCCACGCGGCATCCGTCCCCCCGTCTGGGGCCTCCCACTCCTCGACCTCTGGCCCGTCCCCGGCGTCGAACAGGACGTAGACCCTGCCCGAGGACGGCGTTGTGTTGGCCAGCCCGTCGGGCTGTGGCGCCGCCAGGTCCAGATAGGTCCGGCCGGGGCGGTCGCGGACGAGCAGCAGGGGCTTGATCTTGGCGGTCTGCTCGGCGAAGCCGCCGGAGCAGTTCCACGACACGAGCGAGAGGGATGAGCGGTCGGGGGAGGCGAAGAGGACGAGGTGCGTGTAGGGCGCGGCGCGGGCGCACGCGGGCAGGGTGTCGCGGCTGTAAAAGCCCGTGTTGTCACGCGCGATGACGGCGAGCGGGCTTTGCGGAGAGAGCTTGAAGGCCGTTGCTGTAAGGAGTGGGGGGGTGTGTGTTTTGTGCAAAGTCAGGAGCGGGAACCGCGGACGAGTAGATAAAACTAGGCATCTGTCGTACATACACGAAGATCTACCCAGGGTCCCGGTCTGAAAGTCAAACTGATACTGCACCATGTTCTCGTCAGAGTTGGCCAGATACAAGCGGGTGTCCGACCGGGTGGTCGGGTTGCCGATCCGGGCCAGGGCCATGGGCGAGCCGTCGAGGATGGACAGGCTCAGCTGCTGCGTGGCCCAGGGCAGGTCGCTTGTCCGGTCGCTGACGTATTTGCTGACCGAGAGGCTATTGGCGCCGAGGGTCTGATACAGGAGCATCAGGGTCTGGGACCGGTTGTCGAAATTCTGGTCCCAGAAGGCCACGATCCGGGACCGAATCGAGGACGAGTACTGGCCGCTCAGGTTGTCGTTACCCCAGACACCCCGCTGCTCCTTGAAGGGGCTCTGCCGCTCGATAATAGCCGCGCTCGAGGACCCAACGACCCAACTAAAAGCAAGCTTATTATTTAATTAATATTGGGTTCCGAAAATTCAAAGTGCAACAAATTACTACGGTATATACTTTAAATATTTATAAAAAAATAAAAAAAAAGGCTTTGTTGTTGCACGAAAAGGAAGCTATTTAAACAAAGCGCCCCTGGCGCTTTGTTGTGGTTTTGTAAGCGTGGTGTTGGCGCGCTGGGAGTGCGGCCTTAGGTTCCTCCCTAGGTGTTCCGACGTGTACCGTGACAGTTTTTAGTCGCAAAAAGATTAATTATCCCTGCCGGCTGGGAAAGTGCGCATTCCGGGAATGCAACAGCCACAAATTGTGACTGGAGCGTGCCTTCCACATGAACTCCGGATTTTGCAAGCACACATGTGAGAAAGAGAAATTGAAAAAAAAATGTTGCACGATTCAGACTTCCCTCCCACATTCCCACCACGCAAAGGACCAACGATCTTTCTCCCTCTCGGGCTAGATATCCTCCGCAGGCACGGTATGCACCTCCTGCTTCGCGGGCTCCCGCCCTCTAGACCCTTCTTTAGCGGCCAGGAGGCCGAGCCAAGTCCTCACGAACCCCTCGCGCACCTCCTCGTCTGGGACTTGCTTCTCGGCAAACGATCTAGCCTTCATGATCATCAGTCGCCAGAGGCTCTCGAATTCCATAAAGTCCCTCTGGAGCAGCTCGACGACCATGAGCGCGTACGCGACCTTGGCCGGGATGCCCAGGATCGTCGCCGGGGCCGTCGCCGTCCGCTCCCCGTCCCCGCAGGCTTGGCGCAGCCTGGCGACCGAACCGTGGTACCGGCACCCGAGGGCTGTCTCCAGCTCATCCCATCCTCCAATGAAGTTGAAGGAGCCGTCAAAATGCTGGAACCTGAGCAGATCGCGGACGAACTGCCTGCTGCCGTCCCGGACCGGCATTGCCCTGCCCAACGGGACCATAAAATCGTTAGGCACACACCTCGCGGTAGCGCCGCTGTTGCTGCGTCTGAGAGGCGCACGCCCCGCCATGGGTCTCTTTATTATGCCCTCGTGTGAAGTTCCAATAGAGAATGACCCGTCCCCCCCTCCTCCATCCGAGTAGGTGATGACAGTGGTGTGATTCCCCGTAGGTCGAGGCAATTCCGGCTCATGCTGCAGCAGAGCCTCGAACGAGCCACGGCCAGCATTCTCCAGCAGAGTGCGTGGAAAGTCACCGGTCAAATGTCCCATGGACTTGTCACCATGGCCACTCAGAGTCAGAGACGCCCTGAGCCTGGTGAGGAACGCAGAAGACGATGTGCCACCGCCGGCACTGGAGGGGGCGAACGCGGTCCTCCTCCGCGTTTCGATCGCTGCCTTGACGCCGCCAGAAGGCGACAAGACGGTTTCCCCAAGGTCCGGGTCATCAATAATCTCGTCCCCATTCTCCTCGGACAGGAAGAAGCTGGTCCATCGGGACGTAATGGAGAACCTGCACGCCAGGGCCTCGCCGAGCGTACGATCGCCCCCAGGCGTCATCCCGCCGTCCCCATAGCCATGGATTGGAGGCTGATTACGCATATCCTCCAGCACGGACTTGGTGGCGAGGGTATGGATGGCATCGTCTTTGGCGCCAGCGATCGTCAGGGGTATGTGCACTCGCTCAATAGCGTCCGCAGGCCCGGAGGTGATCTTCAAGACGATGTGTCGAGGCTTGGTCGGCTCGGATAACGAGTTGAAAAGAAGGAAGATTCGCCCCTTTTGGTAGAGGTTGATTGCTCCGAGATGGGTGGGAGACTGAAGTACAGACGGCAGCGCTGAATCTGAGCTACTTGTTAATTAGTCAAGACAGGTGGTGCGGAGCGTACCTAGGTAGCTAGCTGACGGGTAGTATGGCTTACCGGCAGCACCGACGCTCGCCTCACTCTCCACCGGGTCCGGCTGGATCTCGATCTCGACGCTACCCCAATGGCTGGTCAATGCAGCATGCGTCATGGCCACCACGCGGTCCTCCCAGCCGTCTCGGGTGCGGGCCGGGACGATCTCAGAGTAGCCGCCTCCTGCAGTGGCTATGCCCTCGACCAGGGCATGAGAGACGGCATCGCCAACGCCGAGCGCAAACAGACGCACCATGTCTCCTGACTGCCGTCTTGCGTCGCGGATAAAGTCGAGGGTTTCGTCCTGTCGCCACACTTCGCCGTCCGTCAGAACGATAACGTCAAGATAGGTCGATTTGTCCCTCGCTGCCACGATGGCCTCGATTGCGTGCAGCAGCTCCGTTCCGCCCATATCTGACTTGAAGCTGTCGCTGACAAAGCCCAAAGCCATAGCCAGAGATTCCTCGGTGTAATCGATTGACTTGGGCCACAGGCTTATAAAGTTGGAGCCGAAGCACCACACATTGAACTTGCGACCGAGCGGGATGCCTCTAAGGAAAAACTGCATAGCCGACTTAAGCGACAGCATCTTGTCACTCATGGAACCGGATCGGTCGGCCAAAAAAACCACTTCGCCCAGCCCATGGGCGCTGCTTCTCGCGTCGCCGGCGCTGGTCAGGAGCAGCTTGGGCGGGATGGTGATCATCGCAGCCGCCTGGTGCTCGATCGTGGGATGGATCTCAAGAACGGCCTGTGGCGAATCCTCCTCGCCTGGGCCTCGCTCGGTCTCGATATCGAGGACAAAATCGCCGCCGAGATCCGTCCGCTCCGACGAGAGCCTAGCCAGGACGCTCCTGGCGCTTCCCGCCTCGGCCTGCGCAGTTTTGCCGCCTGTTAGCTCCACCCACGTTTGCGCTCTGCCTCGGGAATAGCCCCTCTCAACGGTGACTGCGTGGGTCGGGCTCGATACGTTGGCGACCATTTCGCACGAGTCGATCTCCACCTCGACGGACAACCCACGAGCCACATCCGTCGATGCGAGGCCGAGTTGAGACGAAGGCGGCGCGTCCCCGTACCGGGGCGCTATGCTGGTTGGGATGGTCAAGGTCGTTGTGCTGCGGCTGCTCGCGCCCGCACCGGCGAACCGGCGCTTCAGCTGCATCACAAAGCTGAACTCGACCTTGATTTTTGTATTTGCCGGTATGTTGCCCAGCGAGGCCGTAAAAATCTCCGATGTGGCCTCCTCCATAAGACCGGCGGTGACGCGGCGCTTCACGGCATCGCTGAAGGCTTCCTTGGCCTGCTCCTTTGGCTTGACGTGCCCCCTGAGGGTCTTTTTCTTCCCGACGCGGCACCTAAAGGCCGTCACGGTGCAGCCGTTGGGCAGCGGAAAGGTGTACCCTCCCTGTTCGATGGGGCGCTCCGATTTGTTGAAGTACAGCTGCGTGACCGTGATCTTGGCCACGTCCTGAACGACGCGAGCCTTGATTGCGATTGACAGCGGTACCAGGACGCAGAGGGCCGGCGCGCCCGGTTCCGCCGCCGGTATGGTAACAGCGAGATTGTTAAGCAGTTTATGCTCTTTTCGTTTCACCGACTGACTCTTCGACAGCCCGCCGCCCGGCCTTGCCAGCCCCTTGTCGTGATCGATATGCTCATGCACCTCTGGCGGGGGAGGCTCCCGAGGATCCCAAAAAATTCCTGTGGGGAAGTGATAATCCATGACGCTGGGATTACTGGTAAGAATCAGGCAGACTACTACCTGGGCTTGTGTTGTGCCGGATATTGGGTCAAAGGCGGCGGATGAAGGGCGGTAAAGAGAATGTCGACGAGGCAGCCAACCCTGAGGGCACCACTCCGAGAATATTCTCTTTGAGACTGCTAGGACGGTGAGGGGAAGGGCGAGGGAGGGAGCATGGAAACTCTCAGTTGCGTGCATGCCTCTAGTCTTCTTTTGGGCAGGCGACCACTAGCGCTGGCGAACCATCGACATGAAACGCCAGCCTTACCTACCCCAACTCATGCCCGAAAACTCTGCTCGGCCGCAAGCCCCCCGAGAGGCCCCGCCATTTTTACACACAACCAGTCAGCTCGTGATCCTACCTCGTTTTTATGGCAGTAGAACCTGCCCTCGGCTCGCCCTTTCCATGCGACTGCCGAGTGTGAGCGTGGCGTAGTACCGGCGTCAATTCCCAGGAAATACGGCATCTCCCGTGTCCTTTGGCGACGCATACCTGGCCGCGCAGCTCTGCTTCCGCATCGCGCAGGCCTTCACCAGCGGGCGGAAGTCCGCGCCCGCAGAGTTCCGCGAAGTCGAGAGCCAGTTGTACTCGCTGAGCGCGGCGCTCGAGGGCATCCGGGCTGCGAGCAAGGCGGGGCCGCGACTGGGGCCGGGCGCCTCGGCTTCGTGGGGCTCCGTGGACGACATTGTGAAAAACTGCGGCGAGACTCTGAAGCACCTGGAGTGTATCGTCAACAAGTACGCCGTGATAAAAGACGAGCGGGACCCGACAAAGCCCGTATTCAAGCAATGGAAAGCCGACGTCTCCAAGAACTGGAAGAAGATCGCGTGGACCAAGGAGAAGGGCGACCTGGCTTCGCTGCGGAACCAGATAGCCGTTCACACCAACAGCTTGAACCTGGTGTTGGCTACCATGACCAAGTATGCATTCCGGGTCATGTTATACTTGGTTCAAGTTTCAAATTCGGCCACAAAGGCTACTTACGGATAGGCTAAACATTTCCTCAGTTCCCAGACGGGCCGCATCGAAGACCAGGTCGGGCGGAGCTCCCAGATGCTCGAGGAGATCTACGCCTGGTACAAGGACAACCTCAGAGATACGGTACCCCTGGAAAAGAAGACCAGTTTTGAGAGTTCTGATGGCGAGTCGACCACGACCGCGCTACCGCCTCATTTCGAGCTGCACCTCGAGACCGACCGGGGACTCCGGTTGGTATGTCCCAGAACATGCCTGACCCTGGATAGTGCTTCGGTCCCGCGCATTGGGAGTAGCTCGAGGGAACAGCTTGACGACATTAGCCCATTTTCTTGCATATGTAACCTTAATGGCAATGGACCTCAGCACCAGGCGTCTGTCGGGAGCTTTCAGAGTAAGTTAGCACGTCTAGTACTTTCACCCAAATGCGGTGGCTAAGATGAAAGACGATTGACAGTGGCCCATATGACGTTCCCAATACGCAGGGGAGGGTCCGAGATGGAATGGGTAATCCACAATGTGGCGGACGCATCTTCCTCTCGTCTTGTGTCACTTCACATCCGACGTGTTCCGGCCACCTGTAAGTGCCGAACAAGTAACAACAACCATCGCCATTAGGTCCTCAACTATTCGTTATTTCTGTGACTTTGCACCGCTGACTCCGTGACAGTCATTGCAGAGTTCGAGGAGTCCTTCATCCGGCCACTCGCGATGAAAGGAGCCGGGGAGATCATCCAGGGCGGCGAGGGCACCATGATGGCCTACGTTCAGCCCGGCGCTCGGCGCGAGGATAGAGTGCGGCTGCTTTCCGTTGCTTCGTACGTCAAGGTTCCGTCAGACTCTGCCGCAAACGCATTGCACCAATCCGACTGACATGCCACACATGAGCGCGCAGAGATTTGGACAGGGTACAGCCCTTGGTCGACTCCGTCACCTTCACAAGCGGTCAGCGAAGCTACCCTCGTGACTCAATCGACAGCGTCTCCATGCTCCACTACAGCACCCTGGTCGATGTCGCTGCCGGCGCCCTCGCTCCACACGACGTCCGGACGCTTCTGCCGATGCCATACGGGGAGATCTTGATAACTTTCGAGGATAACGCCGACGCACTTGCCAGCAGCGATGACTTACAAGCTCTCGTATTGTGTGAGTAGGGTCTCTTGAAACTGACATACCTGTGTCGAGCAACGATTGCGGAGCTGTCTTTAGAGAGCTACTCGCTAATCTTTCAATCGAAAAGTAAAACATAACACGCATTTGAGGTTGAGCCGAGAGGATGCCATGTTGAAACTCGAGAGCGTGGCTTGCAGCAGCTCCGCGAGCGGACTCAATGACAAGCACGACGTCATGGACGTGACCTTTCAGTTGACGACACCAGAAGGTAAGATAGCAACCTCGTTTCTCCACCTCCCTCGGTCGCAACGCGCGCCCTATGGTTCTAACACAGGGCATTGTCAACTTTTTTTTTCTTAAGCCGCCGCCGAGCTCCACAGGCGCGTCGAGGAGATGCGGATGGAGCTTTTCGTCTTGAGCCTCCAACACCCACAAGAGGGCGAGGAGGCGGTCTTGCACCTGTAAGTGGCGCCTAGAGTCGATTCCTACCTTTTGTGGCAACCGTATTACCGTTTCTGTGGCTGAACCAGGGGCACGCACACCGTCGTCAACATCGACGAACAGGCAAGTCAAACAGGTGCAGTGCGAGGACGTCTTTATCCCCGAGGCCGAGCTCACCATTCTGCGTAACGCGGGCACCGGGAGGTACCGCATGATTATTGCGACCCGTGACCGGCGCATCACTCTGAGCCAGAACCGTCAGTCAAGCCTCAAAAAACCACTTCTTATCTGGTGTAGGAAGCTAGATCTTTTTAAGTTGCCAATGCTGACCTCGGGAGGGCCTCTTGTGCATTTTGGCCGTCCCAATAGTTTCTCAGGATTTCTTTGGCGGACAACGACCCAAAGCCGGTGACGGGAACGGCGGCCCCATGCCGCCGACGTGGCTTGTGCAGTTCGAGGAGGCGGGAAGGCGCCGAGTCTACCGCTATCACAGCGGCATCAGGGGCTTGAGCTTCCGGGACGCACATTGTAAGTCACTCTACACTGCTATCGGTGACCGTTCCAATTGTTGAGTTTAGCACCGGTTTCGTCAAGGAAGGTAACTGACCGGTTTTCGCCTCCCTGTGCAGCCAACAAAGTGTTGGAGCTGGCGCGACATGCCATCTCGAGAAGTCCGCCGTTGCGAGCCCCGGGTTAGGAACTCGGCTAGGGCCATTGTGGCCTAGGTTCGCCGTTTGTGCGCGTGGGAATCAGCAGACATTGGGACTAGGCCAAGATCTACCAGGTCATGGGAGGAATCTTAGCTGCCATGATGGCAAAGGCTGGCAGGCAGGCGTATTGCTGTGACAAGACGGTTCCTAGGCGGCACGCCTCGCGTGATCAAGGTTTCTCACCAAATGGCAGGTTCTGGAAGGCGCAACTGCTTGGAAAGACACACGAAATCCCTTGAGGCGTCCTGGAAAAGCTTCTATCTTTCTACCACCACTCTTAGTTAACCCCCAACCGGCTCTAACACCTAACGTTAAGGCCATTAAGCTGGAAAACCGCTATAACATGGACGAAGTGGGTTTCCAAGAAGGTATGAAGTTTAACGATATCGTTTTAGGGCTTTAAGGGGCCCGGCCGTTGCAGAGAAAGCGCTTGGTATACGTAACAAGGTCACCGTAATCGAGTAGTGTTGACGTGCGGAAAGCCGGCACTAGCCACCAGAGGGGTGCCGGGCTTTACGTCGGCACCAGGGTCGGTGATGCGGGACACTGTCCACCGCTTGCCCTCGGGGTCTCAGGCCGACTCCATGATGGAACCATCTTTCGACTGAAAGTACACCTGGTGGAGCATGTCGTTGGACGGGTCCCGCCAGTTTAGTGCCGCAAGGGCCGACTCCTGCAGCACGGGGCTGGTCTTGGGGCGGCTGGTGGGTGCTGGAGACTGCTGAGACGACTGGGAGGCGTTGCGGGCGGCGATGGAACCTCCAACTCCTCCCCCTACCGCAGCTGCAATCGTGACGAAGCCGAGGATGCCGACGACGAGATAAAAAGTCCGCTTTCGGAGGCCGCGGATGGTAGACGGGGGCATTGTCGGAGCCACCGGGGCATCTATCCCACTCCCACCTCGTTCCTGTGCCTGAAGCTTTCCATCCTTGGCGGTGGGTCGGCCCCAAGGCTGTGTTGTTCCGCTGGTGCCCACCTCGATTCCATGGTCGGCAACTACTTGGAGACCTTCGTATTGTTGTGGCACTACCTGGAGCCCGCTATGGTCGGGCGTGTTGCAATAGTTGGCCATGGCGGGAGCAAAGAGCCATGCGGCGCTAAAGGCAGTTGGGGTTTCCCTCCCTGAACTAACGAAGCTGGAGCTGCAGATGTCATAGGACTGGGCAGGGCAGAGGACAGAGAGAGAGCAAAACGCCAAACAGAACGGGGACAGAAGGGCCCGGCTGCGATTGACAACAGCACACGTCAGCCTGAGCCAGCCGCGGGTACATACCTACCTACATATAAAACAAAACCATTATCGTAGCTAGGACCGGCGGCTGCGGAGACATGCCAGGCCACACGAACGCTTGGGGAGAGGGCGATAATTTGCGGCTACCAACACTAAGGCGCGGGACCGCGCTTTGTTAGCTGCTGGTTGCATCTGAACTGTACCTATCCAATCGCCATTTTTTTTCATTCCCTCTTCTTTTTCCACCTTCCACCACTTTCCAGCCTCCAAACATTTAGCAATAGCACCCCCACCCCTCTGGTTGAAGGATCGATGCCAAACCAACAGTCGCAATACTCGCGGCCATGAAATTTCGCATCGCGCTCGCCTTCGCGGCGCTGGCCGCGGGCGCCTCCTCAGCCGCGACCGCCGACCACAGCTACGACGCGGGCCAGCGCTGGGGCCCCTACCGACCCAACCTCTACTTCGGCGTGCGGCCCCAGGTCCCCAAGACGCTGCTGGCCGGGCTCATGTGGGCCGAGGGCGGCGCGCGCATGCTCGACACGCTGCGCGACACGTGCGAGCAGGACGACGGCATGGAGGGCTACGGCTGGCCACTCTACGACACGCGCGTCGGCGGCAGGCAGGAGATGCACGACGCCCGCCTGGGCGTCGACCTGGCTACCGAGTTTGTCAAGACGCCCGACGGCGACAACTGGGCTGTCCGTGTCAGCGGCGCGGCTCGCGGCGGTGGCGTCCCGCCGCAGATCGCCCTCGTATTTCACTTTACAATGGAGGAGATGGGCGTCGACGAGACGGTCAAGTCGCTGAAGTGCCGGGTCGACGGCGCAGGCGAGGCTGGCGAGGCCTCTTGCAGAGGCACCGATCAGTCACTGGGTGACTTCACCATCGAGCTCCTGCCTGACCAGGGCAATACGGTTGTGGAGGAAGTTTCTGTTATGGACACGCTGGTGCCGGAGGACCAGATATGGCAGGCCAAGGGTAAGGGATTCCTATTAGCTATGGAAGCAAATACATTTCTGCCTTGTGCGTATAGCGAACGCTGACCCAAGTCATAGCCGCCTTCACCACCATATCCAAGTCTCCGACGACGACATCTGGGAATGGCAAAGGAAATATCTACTTCTTGAAGACGGTCGTGCAAGCCCCGTTCTCGGTACGCTCCATCCACATATCTCACTTCGTCTGCTACTTTGGCTAACCTCGGCGGGAAAAGCTAGACCTGATATACTCTACAAAAGGGTCAAAGTCCACCATAACACGTATGCGCTCCCTCTACCCCAGCTAGAGTCTTGAGATGCAAGTTACCAGGCTGACAAACCACATCTAGCCAATTCGCTCAAAACACTCTTAGATAAATTTTACACCTCCTTCCCCCAGCGCGTAGCGAGTGTCTTCCGACCATCAGCAGCGTTCCAAGGGGAAAAGAACTTCATATTTACCCAGGCCCTCCTATCTAACCTCCTAGGAGGCCTTGGGTTCTTCCACGGCGATAGCAAACTGGACGAGTCCCGCGCGCCCGAGTACGACGAGACCGACCCCAAGTTTTGGGAGTTGGCGGCAGAGGCCATGAAGAGGGCAAAAGTGGCCACGGCCCCGCCGCGTTCGCTCCTCTCCCACACCCCCTCGCGCCCCTTCTTCCCCCGCGGGTTCCTGTGGGACAAAGGATTCCACCTCATCCCCGTTATCGAATGGGACCTCGACCTCGCCGTCTCGGTGCTGCGCAGCTGGCTCGGCCTCATGGACTCGGACGGCTGGATCGGCAGGGAGCAGATCCTCGGCCCCGAGGCCCGCAGCAAAGTCCCGGCCGAGTTTCAGGTCCAGTACCCGCACTACGCCAACCCGCAAGCCCTCGCGCTCCTCTTCCCAACCATCCTCGACAAGATGGCCAACCCGTTTTCCTACCGGGGTAGCCCGTCCAGGTACCTGACCGACCCCGACGGGGCGGGGAAAGAGATACTGCGCGAGCTGTACGGCCTCCTATCAAAGCACTACGCCTGGTTCCGCCGCACGCAGGCCGGCAACTTCAGCACCGTCTACCCGCGGCCCGAAGGCGCCGCGGCGGCGGCTGGGGAGGGCTACCGCTGGCGCGGCCGCACGCCGCAGCACACGCTCACCAGCGGCCTGGACGACTACCCGCGCGCCAACCCCCCGCACCCCGCCGAGCTGCACGTCGACGCGCTCGCCTGGGTGGGCGCCACCGCGTCGGCGCTCGCACGCCTGGCCGCGCACCTCGGCGAGCCGGCCGACGCCGAGACGTACGGGCGGCACCCCGCGGCCGTGCTCCGCAGCCTCGACCTGCTGCACTGGGACGAGGGCGCGGGCGCGTACTGCGACGCCACCGTCGCCCCCGCCGCCGCCGACGGCCGGTTCGAGCGCGTTTGCCATTTAGGTTACGTCAGCGTCATGCCGCTCCTGCTGGGGCTCGTGGGCGCCGACAGCCCGCGGCTGCCGCGACTGTTGGAGCTGCTGGGCGACCCGGGGCGGCTGTGGTCCCCGTTCGGGCTGCGGAGCCTCAGCGCGCAGGATCCCGGGTACGGCGGCGGCGACGATTACTGGCGGGGCGCGGTTTGGGTCAACCTAAACGTTCTGGCGGCGCTGCGGCTGGCCGAGCTGGGTGGCGCGAGCAACGGAAAGGGAGAAACCACGGCCGCCGCCGCAAGGTTGGGCGCGGAGCTGAAGAAGCGGCTGGTAGAAACAGTGTACCAGAGCTGGAAGCAGACAGGGTTCGTGTGGGAGCAGTATTCGGACAAGACCGGGGAGGGAAGACGGAGCAGGGCCTTTACCGGCTGGACCGCCTGTGTGATTCTGCTGATGGGCGATACCAAGAGCGGAGCAGGAGGTCGAGGAGGAGAGGGGGCATATACAGACGGGGCCCGACGATCAGGCTGGTGGTCCGGGCCAGGCGCGAGCAGATCAGGGTCCGGGACAGGGAATGGCGCCTCTACACTCACGGTCATCGGGGTCATGGGGGCGCTGGCGGCGGTGGCGTTGTTGAGGCGAACGCTCTTTGGGCTCTTCCGGGGCTTGGTCGACCGCGTGCGGGGGACGTGGGGGTATGCGCGGGTGCAGCACCGGGCTTCAGACTAGAAGGACTATACTTACAAGGTCACCTTCAAGGGACCGGGCCCTAGCAGTCACCATCAAGTAGTGATGTGCAAGGCCCTACGATATCGTGGGTTGCAGCGTTTATTCTGTTGGTTTGTGGGGTCTTTTAAGTGCCTTTCCACGTTTTGACATATCCGAACGTCGGTTTCCGTCCGTTAATCTCTCCCCTGGCGCCGGTCCAACTCGGCTCTCAGGGCATCGATCTCCGCCTTGAGCTCCTCCAAGACAGGGTCCGTCTTTGGCGGCGTCGGAGGCCGCGCTGGATCAGGGGGCGTCGGCGGGGCCATGAAGGGGCCGTGGTGATGGTGGTAGTGTTGTGGATAATCATGAGGGTACCCGTACTGACCATCGTGGCGTCCGTAGCCCCCATAGCCGCCGTAGCCGCCGTGGCCAGCATAAGGGACCCCTTAGGCGCCTCCGTAGGCGCCTCCGTATAGGTGTGCGTGCGGGTTCCCATAAGGTGGGTGGTATGGGCCGCCGTGGGGTTGACCAGGATGAGAGTGGACGAAAGGGCTGCCATGTACGTTGCCATATGGACTGCTGTAAAAACCGGCGTTGCTTCTATAGGGGCCGCTGTAGCTGCCATGATGCCCAGAAGGTGGCGGGGGCATGTCTCTTCCACCACTCTCCGGCGCGACATGCGGGGAGTGACGCGGCGAGATAGGATGTGGCAAGGACGGGTTTGGGCAGATACACCGCCAGGCTGGGCTAAACTGGTAACCTTTAGGGCCGGGATTATAATGTTCGTAGACTGTATGCCAGAACGGAGTCGCGTGGGCGTCGGCCCCTTGGTGTTGATGAACACGTTCTGGCCGGGCACCACTCGGCCCAGAGAGCGCGGGGCGAGATTCTCGCTGATGTGCCGGGAAATCTTGATCTTGCTCAGAGGGCGATTCCGAATCATCCGAATAGTCGCTGTCGTCACTCTCGCTATACTCCGACGTATACTCATCTTCCGTGTCAGAAACTGCAGAAGGCCCAGGTGGCCGCGACGAAAAATCGGCATGGGGTCCCGAATTTAACGATGCAGGTATGTTTGCTGATATCGGGCCTTTTTGGTCATCGTTCACAGCCACCAGTGCAAAGCTGGACACAGCGGCGTGCAGGCGGAGGTGTTTGTCGATCATGGCGAGCTGTTCGGTGGGCATTGTGTCGCCAATCTCGAGATCCGACAGTTGAGTCTCGCGTGTGTGCAGCTCATTGCTCTCGCGCGGCCCATCCAGGGCATCCGTCGAAGGGAGGGCTCTATCCTCGCTGCCTTCTGTATCTTCATGATGCTCCGCGGCCGAGTCGTGGGTCTCGCCGCCGTCCCGCTCCAGCCCGTGCCGAGCGTGTTCGGCTTCGTACGCTCTCTCGGCTTCCCGGTCCAAGCGGTCGGCATGTAGGAAAGCCGTCTCAGTCTTGCCGGATTGCAGGACTTTTTCCTTTATCTCGGCCTTCATGGAATCTCTGGGCACTATCAGACCACGATCTCTTCCATTGTTGTTGTTATTGCAATACTCACTTGAAGTGGTCACCATCCACGAAGCGGATGATACATATGAACATGGTTAATGTCAACTTGAGCGAGTCCAGCGCGACCATCTTCGTGATCAGCTTGGGCTTGGCCAAGAGCCACTTGATCCGCTGCCTGATAGTGGTGCGCCTCCCCTTCTTCGCTAAAAGCGGCTCCATTGCAGTCTTTCACTTCGTTCAATTCCACCTTGCACTGATGGACGATTTTGCGGATTACTTTCCGGGCCGCTCTGTCGACAGTGCTCGTGCCTTTGAGACGTATTCTCAGCTCGTCGAGGATCCACGCGACCGCCTGCGTATGCGTAGCGAGAGCCCTCAGTTGAGGGCCGACACTCCCCAGGTCCTCTGCAATGGTGGAGATGCTACGTGCCAGGGTGGATCCGGTTGCCGCGATCCCCGTGATGGCGGAGACGAGGCCTACCACTTCGGCCATCCTTTTATCGTGGGCGCGGCTTGCGTCGCTACTTTGGTTAGGCGGAGCGCCGGTTGATATTTGGAGGGAATAGGGGAAAAGGGTAAAGATTGAAAGAAGAAGGCGCTTCTCCTTTATGTGATGGCCAGCAGGAGGCAAGGCTGCGTCCCTCAGCCTCCAAGCGGCGCTCCCACACCATATGTCTTGATCAAACGCCCGATACGATGCGGGGGGTTGCTGCGCCATCGTGGTAGCGATGCGCAGCCGCGGATGCGTTCAGCTGACCGCATGTGGAAAATATTCAGGTAGACATGAACGTGGCTCAAACATGTGCCCTACCAGCCACCGCCTCGTGATGCTATCTCCCAGCCCCGGTGCTACATTCTCTTCCCGGGAAGGATTGTTTTCGAACCGCTCTAACGGGCCCACTCGGCGACAGAGGCCGAGAAACGCGCGTGTCGGTCGGGACCCTCGTGCAGCGACAGATGGGCCGCAGTACACGGAGGATCATAACCCTAAACGGTGCGTCCCGCTAGAAGCGGCCTTGGCCGGGGTGGATACCGACCACCCCAACCCTATTATCCTTGCTAGCGTGCATGGCTGCCATAAAAAAGGTAATTGACTCCATTGCCGCTTTGGAGGCGTGGTACGCCACATGCTTCGCCAGGGACTTATTCCCGCCGACCAGCCGCGGGCACATGCACATGAGCAGTATTGCATATATTGACCGCCTGGAGTTGTGCCCCTAGTTTTATGTTACTAATTTGGCCACCCAATACGTCCTGACTGGCTGTTTGGCATTTCTTTCCGCATCGCCGACCAGCTCGTTCGGACGCCGGTCATCGTCGAGGGCGCTATGCCCGCTCGGAGCTCGGTCAAACCAGGATCCGGTATAAAGCAAAACTACCACATAGCTGCTAGTCAGCCCAAAATCTCCCACCCCCTCGAGAAGCAGCGCCCTAGACTTGCCACCCACGTCGAGATTCCTCCCAACCGCAATAATGGCTACCAGAGAGCTAAGGGCTTCCCGTGCTGCAGGTGCGAGTCCGTGTATCGCAAGACTGGCACACACAAGTGGCTAGAATACCTGCCTCAGCATCGCCGCAGCACAGGGCAGCGCGCATGCCTTGTGCCAATCCTGGTAGGCGACAAGCCGGGCGCCTCGCTCATGAGCCAGCCACTTGAGAGCGAAAATACCGCCGTTTCGAGCTACAGCAGTATTCTCAGAGATCTTCCACCGCGGCCCCGAGTGCCCCCGCACCCGATTACCGGTACTCCCACCCCGAATGTATTTAGCACGGTGCGGTGCGTGGGCCTCCTGGGCTTCTGGTAGCCCATCTACCCTTGCACTTGCAGGCTTGTGTTTAGGGTCTTCCGAGGCAAACGACCATCCTCCAGACGCGACAGCTGTCATCAGCACGTAGGCTCGCATTTCATACAGGGAGCTTATTGAAGAGTCTAGCCAGCTTGCGGCGTCTCTCTACTACTGTGGCGAGAGCCCGGAAACTCTCGTCTGCGTGCTTGCGCCGCGGTTCTGCGAAACAGCCGTGGCTTTTCTTCCCGTGCTGAATGCGAACCTGGCACACACCCGGTGGTATCAGATGTCCACAAAGATACTAAGGCACTTGAGTAGGTAGCTACTCCGTTACCCACTTTTCTGGGATCTGCTCCCTTGACTGGGCAGAACGACAGTGGGAGATGACCGACGCTCGGCGGAGCAACATTACCGCCTCAACGAACCACGCTGCTGATGACGCCAAAACTGAGGCCTCGGCATCAGTCAACCTAAGTTAGCTTCAAGGCATCCCCTTGAGCAAGCAATCGAAACCTCCGTTACCAGACTCAGTATCCAGCACAAGGCGACCTTGTGAACCAGCACTGCTCAGCACCTCTCCTAGTGTGCCCTACCCTAGGAGCAGAAGAACCGTTTGTAACATTACTGTGTCAACTTGATTTTGGATCCCCCTCTTATATATCCGGCAGCCGGCCTCGAGCCGGATTAAGGGCTACACGTGGTTTACAGGGGCCGCACCTACGGTACAGGTTGACCTGGCCAAATAGGTACTTCCGGCGGGTTTAAAGCTATATATATATTAGGCTTTTTACTAAGGCCAGGGAGCCCCTGGCCCGGATCTACAAACCAAAAAGCAAGCAGTTGATAAAATAGCATAGAAAACCCCCAAAAAAAACCGCCCTAGCCCAGGACAGGCCCTTAAGCAGCCCTTAGCTCGACTTGGGTTATTCATTCCTTCCTTTCTTCATCATCTTGGATGTAAACAGCATAGGACCTAGCTAGTTGCGTCAACAGCTAAGAAGCCTTTCGAGGCTCCATACAATATATATGGATGTTGGTGTCATGACTTTGGCAACTCTAGCTAAGCCCAATCCCACTAGGCCAAAAGGACGAGAAGATACAAGTTGCCGACTTGTATCCTACGTTGGGTTTGAGTACTTTGGTGCAAACGCGACATGGCTGGGTTTGCCCAACAAGACATGCCGCGACATCACAATTGGTAGGAGTCGATACTCCCGTAGGCACGGGGATTTCCAAATATGATGAACAATGATCTCCTTGATCCGGGAAAGGGTCCTCGTATTGTGCATGAAGAAGGAGGGAATCTATCTGCCAGAGAGGGAACAGGAGACAGCTATTTATACGCAATCCGATCGCCAAAGGCCTGTTCCTCGCCCCCTACCTTATGTGTCCCCCAGATCCCTGGATCCGTTGGATCCCGTGATCTCGAGCGCACGCGCTAGTCATGTGATTCCAACAATGGAAGACCACTAGGCGATATGGAAGCGTCTGGCTCTTTTTATCGCCCTCATTTGGCTGGGCACTCGGAACTGTCCGGGCTCCCGGAGCACTCCTTGCAAACGGCGAGTAGACCCGGGTAGTACGAGCCGCATTCCTTATCGGTGAAAAGCTCGCGAATGGGAACATAGGTACGAGTGCACTACAAAGAAAAAGTGGAGGGGAAAAAATTCCTGGTTAGTAACATAAACAATACACCTGTCGTAGAAAGGTAAAGGGAAGGATTGCGTTTTTGCAACATACCCACAACTCCTTCCCGCGGCTTCCGCCCATAATACCACTGCCATGGTAGCATTGAGTCGCAGTGAAGCTGTGCGGGTCGACGGTCCCTGGAACGACGCAGGCGCACCACGTCTCCGGGGAATCTCGGCGAGCAAGATCGCTATGGGAACCCCCGAAAGCCCAAAGGTTAGCTGGCCGAAGCGAAATAAAAAAGAGATAAGAATAAAAGACTGATGATTAGGATTGCTGGAGTGGGCTATATCTTACGCGGGAACAGCCACGGCCATAACGGCGGGAAGGAGGGCGATGATAGAGAACTTCATTTTGGCGGCGCAAACGCAAAGTTATGATGTATCCTAAGGGTTAAATTGCGAAGGCCGGTGGGTGGTGGAAAAGAAAAACAAACATTAGGTGAGAGGGAGCCAGATATTTATCTTCGTTTCCTGAACGGCGAGCTGCGTCCAACAAACCAAGGAAAAAGGAGGGGAAACCGCAAACGCCCTAGGCGACATATCGGTGGGTCGACGACGTTGCTCTAAGGTACAGCAATGCAACCTCGGATAAGCAGAACTACGGGTATCAATACCGGCCGCCGTCCCTTCGCTTCCTCCGCTCCATAACTGTTGGCTCGCTGGAGCGCTGGAACAGGTGGTTCTTCCGACAGGTTTTGGGCATGGGCCGTACACGGCAGGTGGCATGAGCCGCACAAGGCAGGTGGCATGGGCCGTACACGGCAGGTGGCACGTCGAATGGTTCGCATAATAAATAATGTATCATCGCATTTGGTGGATGTTACCGCTGGTTTCCGGTTTCCACTTACCGATCCATACAAAATCGGAGATTATTTCATCCAAGGACATTCCCCGCGGCCCTGGGGCGGAGCTTTCGCCTTGGCACGGCCCGGCTGTGTAACCCTGCGTATATGTATGCGTACCCAGATAAGCCCCCGCCTTTTTTAGGGCTCAGTTGTTAGGGGGGCAAAGGAGGGAATCGGTGCATTGCACCGGCCAACGCGTGCAGAGATTTATCCGCGCGCTGCCCTAGGGAGCTGCTGAGGTCCCGTAATCACGACACCCCGCCTTTTCATGGCTCTTGCGTTGAGACGAGAGCCACCAAACTGTACTGCCTTCGGTCCCCTCCTCGGCTTGAGCCAGGCCCCTTCCTCTCTCCCCATGGGATCGAAGCGATGTCGAACTTGCCGTCATCTCGTCAATTTGGTTTTGTATTGGTTGCGTGCCGTGGGCGGAAGCACATAGAAGCACCATCTTGTCATCTGGAGACATGTTGGCGATAATGACGGAACCCTTTCTACCTGTTTGGACTCGTTGTCATTCTTACACACAGCGCACAGCACGACTATCCTTCTTTTTACGCGGAGAGCTCAACAATCAACCCCCCTCATAAGTCAAAGCACCCCCTTTCCGCGCACCTTTTCCCACATAAACTCACTAATTTCATAACACATTTAAAAATCGTATAAAAATCGTATAAATATAAACTAAACGGCGTTATATAGTTAAAAGCATAAAATTTTACGAAATATATTATATTTATATTTATTTACTTTGTATAAATTATAATTTAAATTTTAACTTAAGTAAGTTAAAATGTTAATGTTTCCTATCAAATTGTATGCAATTTATAACATTTTAAAATATATATATTTATACTCTGTTCTGTTTATAAGAAAGACCTCAATGCTACTGCTAAGTGTTGCGTGGGGGAAACCCTTGGGTTTGGCTTAGGGAGGAAAACCTTGCGCTTACGAACCGGTGCCGGGTTGGTGTTAAACCGCCGGCTCCGTTTATTGTAATTCGCTCGATTACTAATAAATGCTCCGGTAAAAAAGCGTCTTCGTGCCCCCGGCTAAAAGGGTATAATGGTAAAGTAAAGGTAAAGGTTAATATATGGAAAAATTATAAAAAAAACGTATAGGAAATGTAGCTTTAAAAAAGCGTTATTGCTTCGGGGTAATTCCGGCGATTGCCGTTAATAAACGAAAGTTTGGCCAGCCGGGTAATTATTGCGTAAAGCTAATGTTTCGCGCTTTCCGGCCCCGCGTCGTGCTTTTGGGTGCGGTTTGTATCCGGTATAATATAGCTTGTCCTTTATCGTTATTTTTTTTATATAATTAAGTATTGGTAATCGTTTTTGTTAACGCTTTTGTACGTATTTTTATTAGCCCGGTATTTGGTTGCTTTTATTAAAGTAACGGTGCTTTTTGTATTTGCTATTCGGGTATTTGTAGTTTTGTTAAGGGTAAGTAATTGTATTTGGAAAGTAATTGTGCTTTTTTTTGCCGGCGTAATGGTTCCGGGCGGGTCCGGAAAGGTTGCTTTTTTGCCGGTACTTTCCTTTTGCTTTGCTTGTTTTTTTCCTTTTTCCTTTCTTTTTTCCTTTTCCTTTTTTTTTTTTCTTTTCCTTTTAATGCAATGCTTTTTTTTTAACCGTTACTTTTTATTGCATTGCTTTTGGTTAATTTTATTGTTTTAATTTTTTT